GTAATAATATATTAACATTAATACCAGCTAAACAGACTTCATAGTTTCATTAGTCAAATGTACATTCAACAGTACAAAAAAAAAAGAATATACAATAAATCATAAATCATGAATTGGCATACAAATTTCTCATTTTTTAAACTCCTGTACTGGATACTATTAACTACTAATAAGCACCAGATTCCACAATTTATCCCTTAAGTAATAATAATGTTAGAGTTGTCTCAAAACAGTAAATTCCCCAAACACTTTGATGATGAATCAAACCAAAAGGATCTTCACTGTAAATAGGATTAATTAAGTGCCTACATAAGTAAGAACTGCACAATTTGTAAGAGACAAGTTCTAGAATGGCTTAGTTTGGAACATGAACCATTTATTACAATGTGTATTAAACTGGCTTTAAAAGTCACATAGCCTGCTAAAACAATGATTTACCCCAGTAATTTTATAAACGGTCCCTGGACACCACCAATAGTCTTCAATAAAGTAACACAGCTTAGCAAACTCAAAACAAAAATGTTTACTATTTTTTTCACCTGATTGCAGATCAATAACTTCCTGGCACCCATTCTATTCACACTGAAACATTTCACAGATCCTCACAGCAGTGCAAATGTCTGCTAGATGTTTTGTGACACAATATACCCTGCCATGAATTTGACAGCTGGATTGAAGCCAGCACTAGATAAAGACCAGGACTGTCACTTGTATAATAAATGGCTATTTGGCTGCCAAAACGGAAAAGAGAACCTTAGACATTAAGGAGGAACAGTGTTTTCTTAGAATGGTGCTATAACACTCTGCTTTCACTTTAAAAAAAGAATAGTAAAGTAATACCTCTTTACTCACCTTGCGCCATCTGGTTATTGCCTAATCTGACAAAAATAGACGTTTACGCCTAAGACGCCTGTAGGTGACTCAAACTATTATTGGCAATATGATTAGCTTTTGTGATTCATAACCACACAAATCACACCTTAACGACAAATTTAAGTTGGAAGCTCTGTTATAAACCTATACCATCTATACACTTTAAAAAATACACAGCCCATTCCGAGTAATGTATATCCTTTTACAACTTCAAACTTCAGCTACTCATATTAAATATTTCTGTCTCTGCAAACAGCATTTTTGGTATTACCTTCACAATTCTTTTATACATATAACAAAGACAATAAAATGTAATGGTCTGTTAATAGTGTCTAATGCCAGTCTTCTTTTGTTCTGTGCTACTCTCCAATCTGAAATACTATATAGCATGAATTCAGATTAGCACGGACATTGATAAAATCCAAAATCTAAAAATATCAGAGAGTAAAGATATTTCAAAATCCATAAAACATTTAACTCTTCTTTCCTTTTGAATGTCACTTTTCATAAAATCACTGTTTAGTAGTAAAGAATACACCTAAGCATCAAAAAGACATGACAGTGAAATGTATCTTGTGCTCCTGTTCAAATGCAGGAACTGAAGAATGTGACAATGTGTAACAGATACTGACAGATTTACATCGTTTAAAACAGATAGATAGAATTTGCATTTAAACCTTCTGGATATTTAAACCATTGACAAAAAATGAATCTTCAGCATTCTCTAAAAATGTATAACCTTTCTCACAATCCCATATTCTTTTGTTAAAATACCATTTCCATAATGCTATTTTTAACAGCCTATAATAACTGACATAAAATCACAATTTTTTTCTTCAAAATTCAATGGCATAATATAAGAACAAAATCTGATAATGATGCATAATGAAGTGATTCACTTTTTTATGGTAGGAGAATTCCACTGCCATTAGGCATGCTCTCAATGAAAATACCAGTACTATGAACAGTGTATCTTGAAAGTAAAGTGCTACAGATCTGTAATAATCCAATTCAGTTCTAAACAGGATAACAATGCCCTGATTTGTGAAGAATCCATTGCAAACACTGTAGATCTTGTTAAAGTGAGCTCTGCATGTTTGATTTCTGTTTCTTTTGTTTGCTTGAATTTCTTTTTCTGTATTATTTTACACAGACACACGATCGTCCTTTGATCATGAAGAGATATTCATTTGAAAGCCAACAGATTTCTGCAACCATACCTATATGATTAATGCAGATCAGTCAAATATACCATTTTCTTTTAGCCAACATTGTGTTCTGTACACTTAATAGTGTTACTAGCAGAAGCGAACAAACCTTTTTAAAGGATTTAGTGGCTAATTACAACAATTCAAAAGAGAACACCAAACATATGCACCTAAATTGAAAACATATCCCACTTCCTCTTCGTGTTTTCCGGCTTCTTAAATACCTTGTCAAATATTCTGTTTGCACAATGTAATTCTGCAATAACACAATATACAAGATGTCATAAAACCAGTGTGTACCAAAGCTATTTAAGACAATACTAAAGATTTTTATACCTTGAAGAAAAATGTTGCTTTTATCTTTCATACAGCGTATTCCAGCTAAACAGCCTTATCAATGTTCAGGTCATTCTGTTGTAGAGGAGTCAAAATTAAGATGAAATTTCACGGTTATTCAAACAGATATTGTAGTACTTCCCTTACTTGCCAGTTACAGTTCCATACTGAAAATTTGAACAAAAAAGATAATATCTCAGCTGTGGAGCCTTCATCAGGTGTCGTGTTATAGCACTGCCTCAATTTAAATGCACATATAATGATTAGGGCTTTTTTATAAGGCCTTCTGGTAGTAACATCGGAAGGTTTGTATTTAATTGTAAAAATATGCAAAGAGAGTTCCTCAGGAAGAAAAACAAATAATCTGCATTTTGTAAACAATAACTTTGAGCCTTAATACAGCACCTCAGGAACTCATTGATGAAAGCAGCATTAGTCAACAATGCAATGAGACTTATAGATTTGCAAGTCTTTTACTCTAGGCAACTGTGTGCAGTAAAGTATGCTATCAGATCAAAACAGTTTTATCTTCCAACAAACATTTCACAGCCTTAAGGGAAAGAATTCACTAACAATCTTACAATGCTGATGTGGCTAAAATACTTATAATTTTTAATCAATCATAACAAACAAGACATTGTTCTAAAATCTCATCATTATTTATAAAGAATATCCATTGGAACACAGACCTAACCATTAAAAGCATGTATTACATGGAGACTCAATTAATTACTGAAACTAAGCAGCTAATATACATTTTTGACACAGGAATTTATTTAATTATTCAGTTTCAAAGCTAGGTTTTACAACAGCTTCTCAATACCACCTCTGCTACTGTATATACATACTTCAACCTGACACTGCAACAAAACACTAAATGAGCTGCAGAGAATAACATACATACCACTTTAATTTTAAAAACATTTAAATCATTTTCTCTTACAAAGAGAAAATAAGCACCATACTTTCAATAGTTTACAGGAACCTATGAAACTTGCATTAAAATCCCTACTTCATTTAACATATTTTAATCCTGAGAAATAATACTTAGGATGATTTAGGAACCAGAGAAATTAATGTTCACTATTCCAACTTCAGAACATTTTTAGGAACAAGTTACACTGGCATACAGCATAAAGCAAATAGAATTGCACTCTAATTGCAGTTACTTGTATGATATCAGTACTAAAAATAACATTTGTAAACCATCTGATGAGCTTTGAATTCAACATATATTTTGCTAACTGTGCAGGCAATTCCCAATTCCCTGAGTTTTGGGACAGGGGCATTGAACTAAAAACCTAGTTTGCTTTGTGTAGATCGGGGATGGTACGTTGATTTAAAAGTAAACAATTATTGATAAAGAGCACAATCAAGTACTAGAAATACAAACATCCATAAAGTACCAACTATTCAAACTAAATGTCACAAAGATTTAAAAAGAAATCCCAACTGACAATTAAAAATGCCCTTTGATGGTCAAAATAATTAATGTACTTTTCATTAGTATGTCAATTGATAGCCTAAGCACTTATATTATTTCTGAGAATTTACTCAGATCAAAGTACTTAAGATTTTAAATAAAACTTGAAGTAAAACTCCAAGGCCTATTACTTTATCATACTGTAGATCTCATCATAAATCCCTTTAAATTAGGAAATGAAATACCTTAGCTGAAGGTAAAAAAAACTTTGAAAACATCTGAATGTCTTGATTGAGTTCTTTAGAGAACTGTAATACTGTTACTTAAATACCTAATGTAGATATATACTCATAAGCTTTATAACAGTGAATTACAGAAATTCAACCTCATAAAATCCTAAAAGACAGCACAACATCATAAAAAATAAAACAGTTCCAAACAACACTTCCTTTGCAAATAATCTATGAAAGTACAGAATTATTTTTCTTCTGCTTTCTGTCAGTTGAAGAGAATGCAATGTAGGTATAAAATAAGATGACATTCAATAAAAGTATGCAATACCCAATATTCGTGCTAGCCAATGTGTCAAAAAAACAATATTGATAGCTGTTGAAACTTGGATATACTACTAAGCTATCATAAATCTTATAACACACTCTGCAGAGAGTAAAGAATCTCTGCAGAGACAGATCCGCATTCAATATTAAATACAAAAACTTCTGTATATTCAGTTATAACCACAGAAGAGAAACACAAACTCCCCCCAAACTGACACCAATCAGTTTTTGAAAGCAAATATTCATTTATAAAAATCTGATGCAGCAATATACTGTAGTCAGCAACACAGAAACCCTGATCTACCCTTTACCAAATGCAGGTAGATTTAATACACATAACCCAAGGTATACATTCAAATGCAGTATTTACTGTACTACTAAAAATGCAAAATAAAAAAAAAATTCTAAAACATAAGAATCTCATTTTCCTGGAATGCCAGCCTTGTAACAAAACTCAGAAAATATCTACTGGCATCTCATAAACTGCTTAATATATCAAAACCTCTAAAAACATCAAATGGCAACTACCAGTTTTTGATTTTAATAAACATTTGTCAGTCAAATTAGCCCCCAAAGAAAACAAACGCAAACTACTCTACATACCTGCAGTTAGGCGGAGGATCCAGAGTAATTTCAGCTAGCTCCTTCTGAATTCTGTGAGAAAATGAGAAAAGACTCTGAGAATTTAAAGTAGTCGGGGAATTACACTGCCCTCTACCACCACGCAGTTAAATGCAAGACTGGCTTTCCCTTCAGTAAAGCTAACATGGCTGCTTCCTCTTTGTTCTCAGAGGCATAACCCGAATCCCATAACAGGAAAACTTTGCAGCATTTATTTCTCGCCTTCTCTTCACCTTATAATGCCACTCTTCACACCACCATACAGGTTTCTTTTATAGGCATCTGACAAGACCGCAATCTTCAGGTTCCAGCCACTTCCTGCACAAAAGATTTTCTTTTAAAGCTTATATGCAAATGAGACAGAAAGGGAGGGGGTTGCTCAGGCATATTTGACAAGGGCTTTAAACCAATGCTTTAATACTGTTACTAACTTAAGAGCATGCAGGTAAAATGAAAATATTCCACTTTTTTTCATTTTAATGTTTTTCTATGCTCTATTCCCCACATTTTGTAAACTTCATTTAAAATATTTTTTTCTTGATTTAAAGTATGACTCCAAGTGTTCTTAATCTAAAGCCGTGATTTTCTTGCTGCAGCAGCTGTCCGATCTTCCTCCACTGCATGCTATTTGTCCCTGCCTGTGCTTTTATTGTAAACAGCAGCCTAATGTCACCCAAAATCAAAGGTGATCATATCGCGTCACTCGTCTATTCAATGAGGTCTTACAGTTCTACCTCCTTTTGACTTAGAGGCACACAAAAGTAACAATAGGAAAGTTGTTAAAAACACATATGGAAATGAAAACCCAAGACTTCAAAGTCACACCAACAGCATAGAAATGTCAAACTCAGGCAGCCGACACACCTGTTTAGTCCAATAAGCAGTGCATCCTTTTACCTTAATACAGAACTTGATCCTTCCAACCATAAATTATTAGCGAAAGAAAAAAAGAATGATTCAATATATATCTGATGTATGAACATAGTAAAAAAGTGACTCCTTTTACTCATGATTAAGCAGTAAGAACTGACTGGAGATGTTAAGAAGTTGGGTTTATGAAGTCTTCAGTGAGTTACAAACTCAAAACCTACCCTTAAATAAAGAAACCATCAACTAGAAAATCATCTTTCATAAAGCAATTTGTCTAAAAGAATGCGTTAAGACATTGTTTAAAAACTTAAAAACATTATATGTCTAGAACATCATTTATATTAAATTAGACCTAATGATGGACCGTAAGGGTGGCCTCTCTTACAAATATGTGAGAAAACATTAACCTTCAGGAAACCGCAAACACGCCGATTTACAAAAAAAAAACGAAACAAATGTTACCTTTTAGCACTGGTGGACAGTTTAGCTGTTGTTTTACTGGATAATTTGGTATTTTTCTTTTGCTGCTGAGTTGCTGTGGGCTGTTTTCTCTCTTCTTGCTCCTCAGGTTCTGGTACCGGCGGATCCCTCTGATCCGCATCAGAACTGCCACTGCTGGTGCTCGGACTTTCGTCGTCTGAACGTTGTCTGTCACTAGACATTTTCCCCCTTGAACAACAAGAACTTCTGAACTTTGACTGGAGTTGCTACACCACCCTCCCTCCCCACCTCGTACTTCACTAACAGCACATAAGTGCTTAATCTGTGTTTTCTGCACCGTTTCTCTTTTGGATATGTTTATAAACAGCGCTACTTGCCTATTGATTTCCTGAATGCACTACTTGCATTACTGATTGCTGATAAACTTTTCAAATACACACAAATGCCATTGCAAGCTTTGAAAGGTAGGTAATTTCCAAGCGTACTGATCATTACCAGCCCCAAATTAATAATGTTTATTGTTAGGCAACTGTTGGGATTGTAACTCGTGCAACCTATATGTAGCTGTGCAGCTGTAATCATCTAGAAACTTATCCATTAACTATTGTAGGACGTGTGTTTTTAGTAAGAATGAACAGAACTCTATACACGAATTCGTGCGGGACCCGCAAGAACTGTGCATTATTGTGTAGAATTCTGAGGTATGCACGTTATTTTAGTACTGTGTTTTCCTTCTGAAGGGCAGGCGATGCACGCGTTTCCAAGCGTTGATCAGAAACGGTAAATAAACATCTATTTCAATATTTAAAATGATTATGTGCCGCAAAAATTAACAGTCAATAAACAGCTTGTAAATATTTACACTACCCACCGTGCATTTGCATCGTTGACAGTAATGAAGTATTTTACATGCTTTACAGAGACATAGCTAATTCTCTTTCCATATTGCTATTGTTTAGTGCGAGTGGACTTTTTTCTTTGCCTCTAAAAGCATTGAGGCTGGAATGTTTTGAGAAAATGACACGGAAAAACACGGCTATTTACATCGCCAGCAGCACACAGAAATTGGTCGGATTCGAGAGCTGCAAGGAAAGCATAATTGCACCTTTTCACAGCGAGGGGGGCTAAATAAAACCTTTTTATGTTTCGCTCACTTTAAGGAAGGAGCGTCATTTTACCGACGAATAAGAAAATATAACTAATTTGCCGCGGACTGGGAGCAAAGTAAAATTTGCGGACCCGAGCTTTAAATCCTTTGTAGAACGAAGAGGTTTGTTATGGTAGGAGGCACTCCAGTATCAGCATGGTGTACCAACTGATGCGTGAAGTCAGTTTCTAGCTCCCTCTCTAGCGACAGCTGCTAAAAATACTAAGAAAGGACGATAATTCTCCCCCTACCCCGGACTCTTCCTATACCTGAAAGCTTCTTCTTTACCTTTAGCGCGATCCTGTCCTGATCTGGGGCGGTTACGAGTGGTAAAAATCCTGTGGAAATGGAGCCGGGAAGACGACAGGCTCCGGCCGAGCTGTGAACATTGGAGAATCGGAAGGAGAAGAGGGGTTGTAATTCCAGCTTGATTTCAGCAGGTGGCGCTGCACGGCGCACGAGTCTCGGGACTCGGAGCAAAGCTGTGAGGCGGAGGGAGGACGGCTCTTCTGGATCACTCCCTCCGCAGGATAATGTGCCAAAACAGCCGACTCAGCGATTATGGTTCTGGCTGCCACTGCTGCGAGTTCATTCTGAATTGAGAATCCTGCGCGCACTTAGGATTTATTAAAAACAGAGGGCATCTACAGGAATTCTTAAGTGCCAAGGACAATGTTTTTTTTGTTGTTTTGTTATGCAATAAATTAAAGGACCGGGAAAGGACAAGTGTCTGCTCTCATTTAGCTGTGTTCCAAACTTTTCAGAGTGTAAATTCTATGTGGAATCGTAAGTAAAGTTCTGTACTTTCCAACATCAGGGTGCAAGTTCACCAGTTACCTCAGTGACTTATAACTGCCCAGTCAGTTAAGGGTAATTACTACGAAGAAACTTGAAAACATCTGGACAATCGTGTAAGAAGAAACCTTGGTAAGCATGGCAAATCAGGTCGTAATGCGTTATTGGAGAAAATAACTGGATATGTCATGGTTCTAAATAATTTACATTTTAACGTTTCGAATAAACCATGAGACTGTGGCTGGTTCGTCTTTTATGTTTTCAAGACCGATAAACATTTTAGCAAAATTGCGACTCTTAAAATGCAAGCAACATTAAAAACGATTTGAATCAACAGTGTCCATAGTTTGGACTCGAGTGCGGCGTCTAAAAGGGCAATCATTCTTTTTTTTTCAACGAATACGACGCTAAAATATTTGCTTCATGCACAATAAGCCAGGAAGAAACGAATCACAGCAATTATAAATCTGGAAAATAGACATGCGATGAAGTGCCTTCTCTGTGCAAAAAGCAATCACCTGGAATGATTTGCAAACATTTTGTTAACCATGGGAATTTACGCACTCCGAACGTTAAGCGATACAGAAACCACCTGTGCTTGAGAGAGAAGCATTATCTAGCCATGAAATGAATGATACTTGTTCTGAATACTGTAAACACCAGGTTGTTTTTAAAGAAGTTGCTTTAGTTAAGGTTTTTCATTATCATCATCAAAATGTGTCATTTAAAACTCACAACATTAGAAAAATGTTTACGTTCATTTCTTGATTTTGTTTCACTGAATAAGACAGATTACAAGAAAAATAATTACATTAGAAAACGCGTGTGAAACGTTTTAAATTGATCTTCCATAGCTGGCTTTCACGCTAACTTGAACTTTGCCCGTGCTCCAAGCTTTCCAGGAATGATGACATCACGATCAAGGATATGTTAAAGATAGTTTTGGCGTTTGTTGTCAAGAACAAATGTGCGTCTTTCTACAGTTATCCTCGGGAATCCTCTTGCTTGATTTACATAACAATGACAAATATAACAAATGTTGTCATCAGTTGCTCTAATAACAGTCATTTGCTTTTAATAAGAACTGTACTTATGTGAGTTTTTATGTGTTAAAGTTGCATAGTTTAAAATGAATTTTAAACAGCATACTACTTTTTATTCCAGATAAGTTATTTGTTTCACCATTTACCTCATATTTGGAGAAGCTTACAGAAATAATTTGTCGTTTCCTACACAAGAATGCAGTTTTTCCTTTTGAAAGGAAAACAGTGTGGTTCTCAAACTGATGAAGAAAGGGCCCAGGCTAATTCTTAAATTAAAAAAAATAAATTCCAGAAAACAGATGAAAAGGCTTGTAATAATGTTTAATGTTGCTTTATTAGCCCTATACAATTTCTTGCATTAGGAATTCATCTTTTCGCATACCCCAACTTGCTCTGCATAAACAACAGACACACAGACAGGGCGAGAAGCTTGGGGTCAGAGCACAGGGTCAGCCATTGTACAGCGCCCCTGGAGCAGCTGGGGTTAAGGGCCTTGCTCAGGGGCCCAACAGAGTAGGATTCCTCTGCCGGCTGCGGGATTTGAACAGGCAAACTTCCAGTCACAGGCACAGATCCTTAGCCACAGAGCCACTGTTCCATCCCACAGCCACTGCTCCACCCCACAGGTGTAAGTGTATTTAGTCTGTTTTGTGGGTCTGTTAGAATATTTTCTGGAATTTTCTAAATCTGCTCTAACTGATTTAACTGGTCTTAATGTAACTAATGCGTTCTTTCAGGACCCTATGCAGACAACACAATCCAGGGAGGAGTGAGGAAAAACCGGGAAAGTATGCAAGGGGGCTGGAAGGAAAACAGGGGGCGTGTCCATGGTGCACTGGTGTTCTGGGGGGGTAAGTCCAAGGCAAAAAGTCCAAGGAGTGTCCATAGGGAAATCCTTGATGAGGCAAATATCCAGAGCCGGGTGGTCCATTCAAAACGAAGACAAATGGAGTTAAAAACCGGAGCTGGATCCGGCGGAGGGTCGGGGGGAAAAAGGGGGAACGGGACCTGGCACTCCAGGTCCCGGACTCGGCTGGTACTGGAAACCAATGAAGAGCCCGGAACACAGTGAGTGTCTGGCTTTAGTAGGGAGGCAGGAACAGGGAGCAGGTGCACAAAATCAACTCAAATGTGAAAGAGCTGGAGTGCTCTTAAGGGGGAGGGGCTGCAATCGTGACACTCAATGTCCTTTTTGCATGAGACAGTAATATTCTTCCTTGATTCCCCAGGCATGCATTTCAGTTCAGTTTAATGTGTTCTCTTATGTTTAAATTAGGTAATTGGTTTTGCCACAGAAATCCCTCCTTTCCTGTCACGTTACACTTCCTGTACCATTCCTGAGGAGGTTTGTCAGGCATCCCAGTTTGAGTCCTGGTGCCAGTTATAGGGCCTACTGCTCAATCTGTCCACAAGTTCGAAGCTGACTTTTCTTTTTCTTAAGTGTGCTTGCAATGCCAGCTGCTGGCAGTAGGCTTTCTTAAGGATTTATCATGGCAAGTTTTTGCCAGTTTGTCTGAAATCCCTGCTTCTAGTAAACTGCAGTTGTGTTTGATTGCAGTGGCTCTGTTATCTTCAAAAGGTTTGATAGAAGCAGCAGGGTAATCCATTTCTGAAGACAGACAGGCGTACCTTTGTAGAAGGTGTTTTCTTCTCAGTGCTCTTCGGGAGGTTTACTTTGAGATACAGATTAGATTCCTTTCTTAAACTGTTGAAAATAACCTCTCTAACTTAAACAATTTTTGTAGTGTTTTTTTTGTGTTTTTAATTGGAACTGCATTGTTTCTGAACATTGAAAATTACATAAATTGATGGTGTTCTTTGATGTCGTCATTCAGTATGGAGCAGTGTTTTTTGACTGCTCCAGTGTGTAATTTTAAAAAACGAATCAATTGGGGCATATCTTTGATTAATTGGAAATCTCTATGTATTTTTTTAAACCAATGCAATTTCCTCCACTGAGATAATAGTACTGTGTAGTACATGGCAATTACTAATGAAAAAAAAATGTTTTTAATAGGTAATTGATATCTAGAGCTCATCCAAACAAAACAAATCAGTGTATCAGTTTCAATAGCATGTCTTAGCCTGTTCCAGACCCTCTAGATTGTTCATGTAAAAGAGCTGTCTCCAGTTAACTGTTTTAAATACACTTCTCATTGTTCCACTTGTGTCATCTGGTTCCTTTTGCACTAAACAGGTTGGCTCCCAACGTTATTTTTGCAAAGTTAGTGAAAGTTCGTGGTGTTGTTAATGGTGATAAAAATCAAGACCTTCTAAGGTCCTAAAGAGGCTTTAGGTTGCCCAATCCAGAATCCTACACTTTGTGTGCTGAGAAAAAGCACTACATGAGCACATAATCCCCCCAAAACTTAGATTGGACTTTAAGGTTTTTCCTGTTACGCAGAAGATTTTGAATGGACTAGCTTTATGTTATTTTAAAGATTAATAGCATGAGCATACTCCATCAAATGGCTGATAGAGCCTTGTCTTGTGTAGCACCATGTCCATGGAACTCATTTCACAAATCCATTAGATAGTCTGCAACTCGACATTTTCAAATCTCTCTTAAAGACTTATCTTTTCACTTAAGCTTTTAATATATAATTTAGTTTTACTCTTCATATCACAGTCAATTTGCTATGCTTTCTCTTCCCATTTTCCTTCTGTTATTGTACAGTATTCTATTGTACAGTGCTTCGACTTTGTTGAAAAGCTCTTATAAATAAAACTGTTATAAATTCTTGTTATGTAAAGGGAAACAAGCTCCACACAGCCATGTTGTCAAAGCTGATACACTGGCCCTTTTCAAGAAAGAGCTGGATGAAATCCTCAAATCACTTAGCTACAAACAACCAAAAATACCTACATGGGCCAAATGGCCTTCTGTCATTTGTAACCTTTATGTTAGTGTGCGTTATATGTCACTGCTGCTGTCATTCAAACATATTGTCATTCAAACTGTGCATGGCAAGAAGAAATTTTTTAAATGCAGGCATAAATCTTCCTGTCATGGTACTACAGTACATATTGTACAAACTGTAAAGTTGGTGTGCAGTTGATGAAACTTTCATGTTTTCAATGAAGAATACTCCTGAGAGATACATTTTTTTCCTTCCTCGGCAACCAGGAAATGCATGAATTCCACTCATGAGGAATTTGTGAATCGTAACTTCCTCCACTGAGTTGTTGCTGTGACTCTGGACAGTGTGTAATTTCCTGAAGACCTACTCCACCAGTAAAAATAAATACGTCTTCACCTTGAGAGGTGTATAACAGGAGACTAATAAATCTATTTGGAGGAATGTCCTTGGCAAAGCATCAAGTACTAGACTCACTGGGGAGGCATTAGGCCTAACAATAGTGATAGAAATTGGTGATAATGCCATTTTAATTTTTGGCTTTTGTTGTGCAAACAGCTGAACAAATAAACACTACTATAATCTGTTTGTTACTGCCAACATACAAATAAATGATACCAGATGGAAGTCAAATTAGACTTGCGTCTTGTCCAGGGTGTGTCCTGCCTTGTGCCTGTTGTTTGCTGGGTAAGGCTCCGGCTCC